GGGCGGAGTTTCAGCAAGCGAGCGCGCGGCAGCTCTGCTCGGTTCGGGAGCAGGTGTTGGAGCGCGTGCACGACGTTTTGCATGCGCGCTTGCAATCGATTGAGCAAGCAGACGGGCAGGAGGGTGGTGCGGATGGATCGCAGGCGGTGTCGGACGCGGTGGCGATCCTGCAGGAAGCCGGGAAGGTCGGGGAGGAATTGGACGTGAGCATGCTGCGGATGCAGGCGGCCGAAGACGCGTTCCTCGGGGTGGATATGGGGTTGATCAAGGGGGTGCGCGACGTGTGGACGGAGATGGTACGGCGCGCGTCAATCTCCCGCGCTCGCGGCGCGCGCGCGTTGGAGCTGGACGCGTTGGAGCTGGGGCGGCAGCTGGGGACGGACGGGGCGTTCGCGGCGGTGGGCGCCGCGGCTTTGGAGCGGTGCGCGGAGGGGGGCTCGGGGCTGGGGCGTGCGCAGCTGGTGGCGGGGGTGGGACGACGCGGGGGTGCTCGGGAGTAAAGATGTCGGAGAGTGGTTTACACGACGGTGCCGCCCTTCCTGCGGGAGTTCTCGGTGCGGATGCGGTCGCGGGCGTCGAGGCGGAAGAGGCGCTTCATGTCGGGCTCGGGCATGCGGCGGAAGAGCTCGTCGTAGCCGCCGCGGGCGTAGTGCGCGCTCGCCTCGCGCAGCAGATCCTCGCGGGTCGGCTGCGGGTGCTGCACGCGCCACAGCCAGTCGGGGTAGGCGGCGTCGTCCTGCGAAGGGGGGATGCGGGTGGCGGAGGCGTGAGTGGGAGAGACGGGGGTGCGCGGCGGAGGGAAGGGCGCGGAGGGAAGGGCTCGGGAGGGAAGGGGACGTACCAGTTCCTTCGGGGCGGCGGTGGGGTCTTTGTAAATGTTGAGGGCGGCAAAGCCATCGTGCATGCGTCGGCGCGGAATGGCGGAGACGGGGCGCATGTGCGTGGAAAGAGCGCGCCACAAGGCCGGCGACATGGCGGAGGTGGGGGAAGCAGAGGGCGACGAGGGCGGGTCGCGGGGGGGGGAGGGGCGGAGGGAGCGCAGATAGGCGACCGGGCGCACGGCATAGGATGATGAGTAGAGT